TATGAAGATATTCTCGGAAGTAACCATGACCGGTGAGGAATTGCGTCAGGTAGAAATCGACTTCCACATGTGGTCTGTTCAGCCATGTTTGAAGGTCGGCTATCAGGGAGTGCGTCCATCGACCTTTTGTGCTCGCGTTCCAGTTTTGTTGCCACTGCTGGATCAGTTGCTCGCGCGCCCTTGCCGCGGCAGCTGCCCGACCTATCTCGGCACTGAGATTGTAAATCTCTTTTCGCTCGTAAGCAAGTAGCTCACTACAGGACACTGTACGGTATGCAGGAGCAATGCGTAGTGCCCCTCTGCGCTGTACCGAAGACATTTGAATCCGGTATTTTTTGACTTTCAATGCGTCACGAGTTGAGGTCCGACCATCATATTTATAATTGTTGGGATCCGTTTCCTGGTGAGGAGCACGATCTCCGTTTTGGCTGTAGCCAATTGCAGACCGTGATCGCTCATCCATCCATTGACGTTGCGCATGACCTGGTTTAGCTTGAGCTGTGCTAGCTGGACATTTCTTGCTGTTATGACGGCGGCCACGTCGTCCGCGAAGGCGACAAGGAAGGCGCTCTCCGGCATTTCCGTGCGCAACAGACTGTCATACGTGGCGTTCCAGAGGTCCGGACCAATTACAGACCCCTGTGCCGCTCCGCCGGTTATTCGTCTCTTTCTCTGATCTTGTGTTGTGTCGTACAAAAGCCAACGGTCTCTGAGGTAGTCCCGGATCATATCTAGCAAGTATGTTGGAACCTTGAATGACCGTTCCAAGGCCTCCAGCATGTCGTCCCATCTTGCCGAGTTGAAGGCGTTCTTGACGTCCAGTGTGACTAGCAGCACTATTGGCCGCGCCTGGTGGCAGGCTTCTTCGGCCTTATGTATCGCCTCGACTACTTCGCCAATTGCTCCTATAGTTGATTGTCCCTTCCTGAAGCCATGTTGTCGGGGTGAAAGGCCTCCCTTGCTTTCTAATTAAATTAAATTAAATTAAACCAAATTATATTAAATAAAATTAGATAAATTTAAATAAAATAAAATTAAATTAAATATTATAAAAGAAAATAAAACACAATACAAGTAATAGAAAAGTGAATTTGGAATAGAATGGAAGAGGTGGAGTGGAATGAAGGTATTGGAAACTAAAATAAATGATTTAGATTTTGAATAGAATGGAAGAGTTTGAGATTTACACATCGTTAAGGCTATCCAAGAAGGAGCAACCAATCTGTACTGCAACTGCTGAATAACGCGTGTAAAGCTTGTGACTGAGTTGAAAGGTTTTCGAGCCTAGAAAAGGAAAGCAACAAATTCCAAAAATCTAAATTTTTTACAAACTACTCAGTTCCGCCCACCAAACTGCTGTATATTGAAATATAAAGTCTCCCGACCGCCCAAAACCGCCTTATTTTCCAGTCCATCGGCAATCAACAAAATGCCCGACTCTACCGAATCTATGAGATAACCTTCCATATCCGGATTCTGTTGCTTCATAAGCGCATACAATTGGCGAAATATTTCAGTGCCATTCTAAAAACAAAAGACAAAAAACTCATCAAAACATTACTTTCACTTGCCATGCAGCACAACGCTGCTGGCCAGTAGTGTAACCTCCAGCATTTCCAGCGATGAGCTTTCCTTCTCCACAAACAATTGATAGCCATCGCGCAACATAGCTGTATGCAGTCGTTGCAACGTGTTAATTGGTGCCTCATGCGGTGGACGCGCGAATTGCGAGGTAAGCTGGGCGGAGTAGACATCAGCCAACACGTAGGTGGCCGCAATCCAGTAGACGATCATGAGAAACTTTGCGCGATAGCCATGATAAAGCTCCTTGCAAGCTACATAGTACATCCCACAGCACAGCAGAGCGTAGCATCGATGCGGACGACAAGTAAAATGAAGCAAATAGTGATAAAATAATTGAATGAAATGGGAATGCAATAAATGTCAGCAGGCAACATTAGCTGATGATGCAGCTGCTGAGCGCTGAATGTTGACTGAGACGCAAAATGCTCATTAAAAGATAAAAATGCTACTCAGAACTGTATACGCACGCACACACAAACACAAAGACATACCAACTTACTCACTCACTCACTCGTCATTCACTTACATTGCTTGAGAAATAGTTGCACTGTAAACCAAATGCATTTATCGAATAGATTGTCTGGTATTTCCGCCGCCAATGACTGCACTCCAACTCGACGGTGCTGTTCCTTTTTTGCTTCACGTTCTTGTTGGTGTTGTTGTTGGCGCAGCAAACGCCTTGTCATCTCGTTGTCGCCGGTAATTTCCTTGATATAAGCCATATGAAAGATCAGCTCACCGACCCTTTCCACATCATGTTGTTGTTGTTGTTGTTGTTGTTCATTTGATCTCTCTTGTCTTACGCTGCGCGTTTGACATGGCAAATGCCATTTGTACGGTATTGCGATGATGGCATAAAATATCGGTCCCGAAAATATGACGGTCAATATAAGGTAGGGCCAGACGTCACGTTTAAAGGGGCGTATGATGGCGAAAGCTTCATTGAGGCGGCGTGGTGCATGTGTCGCAAAGGCACCAGAATCGGCGAGAGTGAAGAAAGAGAACTCGACGGCCTTGCGACGCTCCCAGCTGAGGCTGACATCGCCGAGAAGAAAGTCGGCCAACTTCAAAATTAAAAACAAAAAAATAAATAAATAAATCCAGAAGCAAATGTAAACTTTAAAAGCGATGCGTTCATACGCCATTTGAGAAGTGCATAAATAACATACTTATGTTGCATACTTTTGGGCGCAGTTTTGGCTAATTTTGCATATAGAATTATTTAACATCTGTCTTGTTTCTCAGATACTCTTTTGGCACTATTTAAAACCTTTTTAATAAGATGTTTTTTTTTTCCAAGCTTACCCCATTTTGCAGCAAACCAATACCACCAGTAAAGCTATCATTCTCCGCGCCGGTATCATCGCTACGCAAGGATCCTTGTGTTCTGCCAGGCGCCTCAATATAAATGAATTGAAAATTCATATGCTCAGCCAATAGAGTTAGTAGGCAATGATCACGTCCGCCCGTCACATTTACTTCAGTAAAATCGCCATATTCATTGTCGACATAATCGTCAAACATTGTAGAGTTTGCGGAATCGTTTTCATAGTTCACCCAAAACCATGGCGGAGACTTGAACAAGTTGAAAATAAAATTAGACATAAAATGTGGAGCAGTGAGTTTGAATTGAAAATGATTGAGTAGTGCTCATTGTTAAGGGGCAAAGTGTGGCAACAGACAAAAAAAGTGTATGCGGTCAAACCTAGGTCCTACCGAGTGGTAGTTTACACCTCTTCTAGCTCCTCACTACGGCGGCCGCCGTTTCTACTTACATGAAAAACTGGCACCCGAAATATGCGTCCATTGAAATTTGAGTAAACAGTCGCTGCATTGGGAAGTAACGGTACTTTCTGCAGACCTAAATTATCGCCATCATACCAATTGACCAAACGAAGATTACTAACACCATCGGGTACGGCTTGATTGTAGTAAATGCGAAAGCTATAAAAATGTAAGGTTTAAATAAGTAGTGGGAGTGGGCTTGGCACTCAAATATTTGGGGTTCTTAATATCGACATATGTGTATCTTAAAGTTATCGAAATGGAAATGAAAAAAATTTTAATTCTCAGTTTGTAATGGATTTTCGTTAATCGTGTTATTGATATTTTTATCCTTATTGATAATGCTACCGTTGTCGATATCTTTTATCGTTATTGGTATTGTTGTCGCTGCCAATATACATTTTCAGAGATCGAAAATGACGATTAAATACCAAGATTTTTATTTTTAGATCATTGTAAAAACATTAGTTTGTTATTTTATTTTTTTCGATAAAAAATCTATATTTTTTCCATAATTTTTAGCGGTGCTAATGGAGACTGCATTTTTATGACCGTTTAAAATTTTTAGTGATCTAAAAATTAAATCTGTAAATAACGGTTATGACCGAAGTAAAACAAATCTTAAAATAGCGATTATTCTAGGTCAATAAAATGAAAAATCATAAAGTAACAGCCAAATTTGATCGAAAAAAACAAAAATCATTTTTTAGCGGTTAAATAATGATTTTTTTTTTTTTTTTTTTTGACGTCGAAATTTTAAAATTAGCGTAATTTGTATTATTATCGGTGTTGTTATCGCTATCGGTATTATCGTCTTTTTCTGTTTTAATTATCATCAACATCGCTATATGGCGCCTTTCGACTTTTATCGTTGCAAAAATCATTACTTTTATATTGATATTTCGGAGAATCCTGACTAGTACTTGCCACATTGGAATCCAGAAATCCGATGGCTGGTGGCCGATTTTTACCATCTTTCATATTTATATCTTCCTATGTTAATCTAAGTTACTAATCGAATTTTCTCGAAATTGGATAACATTTACCATATCCGCCCCCTATTGTCGTGGGCATGGCATTTCGCTAAATTCAACCATTTTTCACATGTATTCATGCATCCTATGCAAAAGTACCCCACGTTACAATTTTCAGCAAAAACAGAGCACATTTACTACTTTTTGCCACATTTTATATGGAGCATTTCCACTGTGCGGCAGTTACAGATATTTTTGTATCAATACGTTGTTCGTTAAGCTTACATTTAAGATAAAAATTTTTAATTTTTTTTTAAGTAATTACTGTTAAATGAATTCATATCTTACTGTACTTGTTAGATAAATAATAATAATGTACTACGAAATAAACGCCTACTAAATATTTTCTAAGAAGCTGCCCGCTTTCTCATCACACTTACGCTTTCTTCCTTGGCCTCGTTATGACAACAGCTCTCATTGGTTCCTCAAAGCGCACCTCATTAGCTTTTGGCGGATGTTTAGCGCCCCAATAAAATATGAACAAACTCAGGCGATGTGACAGCCTACGCTCCTGTATGCGTGCAGAAAGCTCATAAGGTGCACTAAATATCAAATTGACGCTTTCAATCGAACCCTGTAGATTATCTTCGACGAATTTGAAGAACAAATCTGCCTTGTCAAAGATTACAGATTTAAAGTTGAGTTTGTGAAGTTGATAAATGAAATCATCAATGTCCATTTGCATGCCTTCCAATTGTAAATCGGTGGGAATTTCAGCGCCTGCTGGTAATGGAGCGTGACGAGTGGTGAAGCTAAATTGAGGTGCTGCCAAAATGGCTAATTGGCGGGGTTTCAAGCCATTGATGATTTCAGAGAGAGCTGTGGAAGTGATGAATATAATTTTTTTTTAGTAAAAAAAATCTCGGAAAAATAGGTTAAAATAGTGAAAGTGTTCATAAATGTATGGTTAACGAATTATGTGGTTATATCGACATATTTGCTACTTAGTTAACAACAATAAAATTTGCTGGAGTATAAAAAGCTATAGCCGGATAACTTAATAGTTAAGAAAATGTGAATACCCACAGTAATTTTTTAGAAGTTCTTTAATTTCTATGCTCTATATTTCTTCTACTTTTAGCAAACAATTATGGCGTATACCTATAGCCACATCAGAAATATTCCTTTCTGCATTATAAGTGATCGCACTGTATGCCAGCCCCGGTAGCCGAACAATTAAGCATAGAATAAAAACTTTCATTTTCCTTCAACAGTTCAACAACAGTCAGGTAAGTGGTTTAGCGCAACGTGTTTGCTTTATTAATTTTATTGCTTACTCTTCACATATTTTTAAGTTCACTTTCAATCAACTAAAATAACTTTAACTGCCTTCAGGCGCTTTTATATGCAGCGGTTGGATATGAAAATCCATTCAACGCACAAATACATTTTTGCTTTTACATACAACATTTCGAGTATGTAATGATATGTGTTTTGTGTATATTTTCTTCTTACGCATATTGATTTCCTTCCGTTCATACATAGTTGTAGGCTGGCTGGCTGGCTGGCTGGTTGGCTGCCGCTGGCCTGCCAAACATCATTTTTATGATATGTTGATTGTCAATTATCACATCAACTTTAAATATCGCATGTCAGCAGCACTCAATATTCTTACGATGCGCTGACTTATAAAATTTCTCGCAGCAGATTGAAAGAGAAATAAAAATTCGATATATAGCGCCAACCCTTTACCACTTTTCAAAGCTTAATTTTTGCTTTCATTGTTGCTGTTGTTGCCTGCCGTCTGTGGAGCTTTAAATATTACATTGTTCTTTGCCTGCGCACTGGCGCCTCCCTTTCGTTGGCCAAGTGACTAGCACCCGCAGCCATTCTGTAATTTTTTATTTCTGCGCATATCTCGAAATCGGGGAAGTTACAGGCAGACATTCGTATTTATGGTATTATTAAAATATCGTAAATAAATTTACTTGATATGATAATAATTTGGCTAGACAGTTGAAGTGGTGGCGCTGTACCTGAATATAATTTATATGAAGGCATTCACATATATATATATATATATATATGTACATACATAAGTATTAACCTGCTTGCTTAAGTAGATTCCAAATATTTCGTTTGGTGCATACTTTGACGGAAAGTCTTTATTATACGATCCCTGCATAAGGATTTGAGAAATTTAAGTCAGTTCTAAATTTTTTCTGCTTTCAAAAAATTCTCTAAAATCATCTTAATCATCATAAGGTCATCGGAAATGCACACATATATCGTAACCGGAAGCTCCTGGCATCAAGCCTAATCCAGGCATATCAAAATATCGATATTTAGACATAAATGGTAGAAATAATTAGAGATAAAAAGTTAGAAAGTAAGACAGGCATTATTCTTTTCTGTAAAATTTTGGCAATATCTCGTACGCGGTTTTGTATTTTAAATGACGAAGTGATCTTCAACGACCGTCTTATCATTCGAAAATACTCAACCTATTGTGCCCTCAAACATTCGTAAAAGATTTTCTAAAACGGTCTACTATAATCATCTTCACTTCACTCGAACGATCACCTAAAATGATCACCAGTAAATGATAATTCACTCATTGACCTAGCTCCTTAAATACTCTCTACTAATATTCTCAAATCATCTTAATTGATCTTTCTTTCTTTAAAAATGATGTCTTATGATTTTCTCAAATGATTAATATTCCTTTCCTCAAAAATGTATTTAAATGATCTTTTCAAATTATCTCTGTTGAATTTTCGATAGCTTGTGGATAATATAAGACCCACCAGAAGTTATGTAAATTCCAAGTCATGTTACGTAAGCATGGCTCTGGATACTTTGCATCTACGTTAATGTGACCACTTTTGATCCGCCTCTTGGAACATGCCTAAGTCTCATTGCTTCTTAAGAGCATGCAGGGAGTTTGAAATTTCAGTAGCAGTCCTTCCTTTTCTAGTGTCTCTACCTCTTCGTTTCCTACTATGCATCTATGCCTCTATGCCCAGGTAACCAGTACAAGTGAATTTTCCTAGTTAACACCAAAATTTTTAGTTTATTTCCACACTCTAAGACACTTTTTGCAGCCGTCGTACTTGACACTATGGATTCTGTGGCTGCTTAGCTATAGAAATTAATTTTTTTGCTATTAGCACTGCTATGAGAAGCTCCGTAAAGACTTTTTATTTCAAATTCTTTGCAATAGAAACCTGCTCCTATTCCATATGTTGTTTTTGAACCGTTTGTGAACACATGAGTTCTACTGCCTCCAGCTTTCAGACCCTTGCGCCATCCATACGCCTCAATCGATAGGTGGCATCAAAAATTACTATGACCGTATGATCTACAATTGAACTGACTAGTAGCATTGCGCCGCATTGCAGTTTTCAGGACTAAGTAGTATATCGAGGAATACCTCCATTGCATATTCTCCTTCGTTCAAGGCCTTTTCAATTTGACCAACCACCCTGTGCAATGCTGTTTCTGTACATTTACTCTTGTTATAGGCACTCTGGGTATTGGAAATTAGATTATGATCTATTCAGGCTTTCACATAAATGTCCATCATCCTTTCGAGTGTATTTAAGAGGAAAGATGTTAAACTAATAGGTGTGTAATTCTTAGCCGTTCTCCAAGAAATCGGCACATGCGAGAGCCTAATGCAAGCGATAAAGATGTGTTTCTGAAACATGACCTGATAAACGCCGTCGGTCCCAGATGACTTGTATGGTGAAAAGGATTTTATCGGCCAATCAAGTTTGTACCTTGTAACCAGGTCATCTAAAATATTATTTTACCCTTGTGTAACCCCCGTCGATGAGGTAAAAGTAGTGGCGAAATTTTCACCAACAATTGATTTGCTTAATCATTAATTACTATAAAATTGTCGGAAATTCTTGTGTCATTGAAGGAAGATGATGTTACAGATGACCTGATTGTCCCAGTAATGGCAAGGCAGACTAAATAGGCTACAGCTGACTGGCCGTTCATTCAATTCTCCATAATCACTTACTTAATTATTTAAGTTGGCGGTTACATACTATGGTAATGTTTGGCCGAGCTTCTTCGCCGATTTGTGGCGTGCGCCTTTATGTTATCACACGAAGGGGAGGGACCTACAGTCTTACGCCGACTCCGAACAGCGATTGTATTTTTATGAGAAGCTGTTTTTCTTGGCCGAAATACACTCGGAGATTTCGCCGAAAACTTTTTCTTTTCTTTTGTTTTTGATGTGAGTTGGAAACTGGGCTCGATCGACTTCAGGCCCTGCGGAATGTTAGTATTCACTTCGAACCACTACCCCATAGCGCTCCCCCGCTGATCACACTCACACACGATATCATCCGCCATTTTAACTCCAACCTTGCTGCGCTTTCGAAGAATGTGGTTGATCCCTTACTGGGGTTTCTGGTGGCTTTGCCGCTATAGTGCGTTGGGCTTGTTATCACTTAATATATTATAAGCTGGTACACCCTACCTTTGGTTAAATTTTCTGGATAGATGAGTACGAGGTTCAGCTGAGAACATAATTGCTGTGCATGCGCCTCTATGCCTGACCAAATTGTTAGCTTATGCAAGTAAACTGAGGCGTTTCCTGTAATTATTCGATATATATTTCGTATGAAAATTCAATACAAGGTTTCTGAAACCTTCCGGGGTTCTCAATTATTACACGAATTACTGAAGAACTTGAGAATCATGTAAGAAGTTGTGCACAAAGCTTTTGGACCTTGAAATATCTGTGTTGATCTCAATTTTTGGTTTAGTAATCTGAGGTAAACTTTCTCTGACAAGCTAACACCGGTTAAGCCACTAATTTCCATTTCTAAGGCGTACTTTCGGTTCTTATGCCATTAATTAGTAATTGAATTACGTAGTTGGTTTGCTAAATGTACAGACCACTTGCAGGATTTGAGTTACGATACGAAATCGAAAGAACTTTTCGTGAAAAAATGCAAATGCTAGATGCAATCGAAAGCCAAATTAGAAAAGAGAAAAAAAAAATCTGAAATTGAAATCTTCACCACAGAACACTTGTGAAGCAAGAGCAGCAGCAGCCTGATTAGGTTGCTAACTGCATTTGCGTAAATAAATAAAAGAATTCAGTTATGGCCTCAAGACAACTATGCATTCTCACGCAAAAGTGTGTAGTGTGTAGTGAAACACTCAAACGTTCAACTAAATACTTCCAAAACGAACTTCCTCATTTGTACTTTCAATTGTTTCGAATCTAAATTTCTTTCGACAGAAAGCGAATGTTTATGAATAGCTTAGAAAAAAAAAACCACTCACAACTGGCAAGTATTTACATTCCATGGCTTGAAGTACAAAAGCACAAAACCGACATTTGCGCGCATTGCACTGCTTTTCGCCTGTTTGTCTATTTAACATTGAAGCTTTCAAGCGTCCATTTATCATTTGGTATTTTATTTGTTTATTATTTTTTAGGTTATATTTTTTTTTGTTTTTAATTTTTTAATATTTTTTTTTTTGTGAGAAATGTTTTTTTTTTGTCTCGGCTGTGTCTGAACTGATCTCGTCTCACTGGCCTGAAACCGGCAATTATACTCGTATCTATACTTTTATGTGCATATTTACTTAAGTTTTCCGCTTTTATTTATCTTCTTACAGTTTTTTTTTTAATGCTTTTCAAGCTTTTCCCCGCATCTGCATCTTTTTTTTGGTACCTCGTTGTTTTAAGCTGAATTTTCTCCCAAAACGAATAGTTTCTTACCCTCATTTTGTTGCGCGTACCAATGTTGTTGCTGCCATTATCTTGTCCTCCGCCTAGATTTAATCTGCAAACTTAACTGCGTAGCTGTGCGTGGCAAACATTTTCTATGCTGGCAGTTAAATGTTACAAATTAAAATTAGTATTTTCTTTCCTTACATACATACATACATACATACATACATAGGCACGTATTTATGCATTTGCGGCATGGTGGCGTCTGTTGCTCGTTTGGTTTGTTGCGGTCGGTCTGTGCTTTGCTGGCGGTCTGGGTTATGCACATTTGGGCCACTAATCGCATAATTTGTTTTTCTTTTTTTATAGCTTTTAACGGTGTTTTCTATATTTTGTGCATACATACTTCGTTTGCTTCCTTTGACTTTACAGAGCTATGTATACAAGTATACGTAGTTCTAAAAAGAATCCGAAATCTGAAAGCGCTTAATGCATGCTCGAGTAAGCTCATTTGCATTTCTGTATTAAATATATATATTTAAATGTTTTTTTTTTTTTGTTAACAATAGTCGCTCATTGGCTGGCTTCACTCCGTTAATACTTTATTTATTACTTCAGTTTTGCTACTTTTTGCGTGCTTTTATT